TACTCAAGTGCCAAATGTAGGAGCCATCCCTACTTATTCCCATCCCTCACACTCCGCATCCAACCCATGTGCCTCCAAAATATAAAATATGTCCACTAACAGAACCCTAATCCTAGACCCTTCAGCCCACCCTAATTCCACCAGCCCACTGGCCTCCCTGCTGGCCCTTCTGTGGTCCATCCTCCAAGCAGCAGCCTAAATGCTTTTTCTCAACCGTAAATCAGATCCTGTCACTGCACAGCTTAAAATCTTCATTACATTTGCAGTAAAACCCAAAGTCCGTATCAGAGCCTCCACAACCCTGGCTGCTTCTACCTCTTGCTTAGACCGGCCTCTCTTTTCAACACCCCAGCCACGCTGACCTTATTTCTGATCCTCAACATACTAAGCTCATACCTATCTTGGGTACTTTTGCATGCTGCTCCTTCTACTTGAGGTCTTCGCTCCCAATATGCTGAAGGACTACCTTCCTATCATTGAAGTGTCAGCTCAAACGTCCCCCCTTCTGAGAGGCCTACCCCAAGCACCCTGGTTAAAGCCATGCCACATCCCCACACCTACTCTACCACACTATCCTATTTTATCTTCCTTTTAGCACTTAGTAGCTACAATTTTGTATATTTGTTTATCTTCTGTCTCCCCAGAACTACAAAATAAGCCCCACTGTGCTTGTTCACTATTGAGCTTGCAGTGTCTGGAACGGCGCTAGGTATGGAGTAAGCTTTCATACACATTTGGGGGCAGCTGGTCCAAAAGGCAATAGTGTGCTCCCCTGATCTTTAAGACAGTGCTTTGACTCCCTCTCCCAAATCTGAGATTGGAAGTTTGTTTCCTCATCCATTCAATCATTCATTCACTCACTCAAGTCTAATCAAGTTGACTACAGGACACCTGAGAAGGTACCACAGCGAACATGCAACCAGAACAAACTGTTTCACAATTTAAAACAGGATTTTTTTTACATGGCATTTTATAAAGGCACTTTTAACTTGACTTCTGCCCAATGTCATGCTTCTCTGTAGTCAACTGCCATCTCATATTTACATCAGAGGTTACATGCACGCATCCCAAAAGCCACACGATGAAAACTCAGCACCCTAGTACCTCCCGGCAAAACCAAAGACCTAAGAAATGTACTTGAAAATACCTGACACCTTTTATTTACTACCCGTAGCCCTTTTCACAAAAATAAATAATAGAAACAAGAAAGTAAGTGTGGCTTTTCAGAAATTTCACCTCCATTTTCTTCACTCTTTCTAATCTTACTACTTGGTAGCAGGTACTGTCAAATGATAGAACACTTTCAACTTAAAAAGCACTGTTCTTGACTGACAGCTGTAACAGGGGAGGGGGAAGGAGGGGGCAGGCTGAAAGGTGACGAGATTAGCCAAGGAACACAGGTGCATGACCCATGGACATGGGCAACTGCAGGGGCTGCCTGAGGGAGCGGGGGCAGGGCAGAGTGGAGGGGGGCAAATTGGGACAACTGTAAAGCATAAACAATAAAATATAAAATTTTTTTAAAAGAGCACTGTTCTCAGGTTATGGAGCACTAATGATACCTTGGGCAACAGGCTGAATCATGATACCAAAGGAAAGCAGTACAGTGCAGGGTCTGGGACCTCAGGCTTTGGAACAGAAAAGTGACGATTCAAATGACATCTGCCAGCAATAAGGCCCTATTTTACTTTACTTAGTAAGTATATAGCACTTACTACATGCAGGCAGGGTTCTAAATACACTGCAAGTATAATATGATTACTAGAGAAGTCTGAAGCACTATTATTATCTGTATCTTACAGGTGAAGAAACAGGCACAGAGAGGTGGAGTAACTTGTCCAAAGTCGCAGCTAGTGAGCATTAGTCAGCAAATGAGGTAGTGTGATCAAGAATCCATACTCTTAACCATTACACTATGTTTTTGCTCTAACCCTATTTCTTCATTTATAAGACAGGGCTAATAGGTTTGCCTTATCTCACATGGTCATATGAAATTACTGGTACACAATACGGTAAATGTTAGTAACTCTTAGTGGTAGTAGTCATTGTCATCATTCTATCATTTACCTTCTTCACCTTTGGTCCAGCCAAGGGTAGAAGAAAAATGTTTTTATTTATTCATTTATTTTTAGAGAGGGTGAAGAGAGGGAGAGAAAGGTCAATGTGTGGTTGCTTCTCACGCGCCCCTACTGGGGACCTGGCCGGCAACCCAGGCCTGTGCCCTGACTGGGAATAGAACCAGCAACCCTTTCGTTCACAGGCCAGTACTCAATCCACTGAGCCACACCAGCCAGAAGAAAAATATTTTGGCTGAGAAAGATCTCCAAGGCTCTCTGGAGTAGAATACATTACAAGAGAGTGGAAACTCCATGAGAACAGGAATTGCCTGCTTTGCTTATCGCTGTATCCGAAGTAAGCCAAGGGTGCTCAGTAAATACTTGATGAATGAGGTAGGAAAAAATTTAATGTGTAGACAGGGTTCTGCAGAAATGACAACCAAGGGAGCACCATCACATCTCAAACGAAGCTAAATATATAAGAGGTAAACTTACAAGGTTTTTGGAGGACAGTGTTAGCTGGCCATTTGGCCATTACTTAACACAGCCTGCTATTGGGAGGCCATGAGGTATAGTGCTGTTCATTCATCTTAACAAGAAAAAGGGATCTGAATTTTAATCCTCACTCTCTTCCTGGAACTCACCCAGGCTGTCAAAGTCTTGGATTGTCTCACTGTAAAAGAGGTTGGACTAGATGATGATCATAAACAAATATATTCTACTTCCTCATAACTTTATAACAATCATCATAAAAATCTAAATGGAAGCCAATCACCAAGTGTTCAATAAATGTTTGTCAATGAGAGTGATCCCCAACTGACAGATGAAGAAACTAATATATATAAGCAATTTGTTCAAGGTCACGGGGTCAGGGTAGAATATGAAATACAGCCCAGATCTCTTTCTATATTGGTGTAATACTCTTGCTTTCTAAGACCCTTTTTCAGTTCATAAATACTATGATATTAATCCTCTCTTCCAAGCTCAATAAATCTGTAATCATTTATCTTAAATAATCTTTCGTGGCTTCCCTACAGCATGGGCCAGTAGGATGAGGAAGAAATGACTACAGTATTTCCACACTGTTAACCTGCAGAGTCAAAAGAGCCGAAAAGGGAATTAGGGAAAACCCTTTGTCTTTGCCCAGAATTGAGAGATCAGAAGTATTTTACGATAAATGATTTCACTTTAACCACTTGGTTTAATTTAAGCAAAGTGATTTTAAAAAAACAGCTTTTAGTAACACAATGCTTTCTGAGAGTGCAGCATGTTACAATTTCTTTTTAAATCAAAGTTGTGCCACTTGATGCAAAGTAGATTCACAAAGTTAAAAGACTGTCAGAGAATGTAAGAAATAATTGCTTTATTTTTATTAACAAAATACATACTTGATGTTGAACCTTTGAGTATAGCACCTTTCTAGGGCTGTCATGTTAGGAGTGAAAAACCCACTTGGCAGTCAGTTTCCTTAGATGCTTTCTTAGAGTCAAGGTCAAACTGTTGAGTCTCTTTACCCTTCCACCTAGTAATTGAAAAGCAACTAATTGTGAGCTCAAAATACTCCATTCTGGTACAATCAAAAATACAAATGTTGGCTCAAAAAGCTCTCTCTGGTTCAGAAAGTTTTGTGAGAATAAGTTGACATGAACAAGGAAAACAGAGGGGCTATAGGACAAGATGCTCAAGCCACTTCGATGACAACAGTAACTTTCACCTCCTCTCTATAAGTTTCATTACTTATCAAATGATAATAATCATCTCACCAGACGATTACATAACGCAAAATATGATGAGGAATTAAAACAGTCTCGCAATCTTGTGCAAAGGTGCGAGATTACTGTTACCACTATTTACTACGTCTGGGGCCGAAAGACCCCCTTTTTCATTCTTGGATGTGTTCCGCAGGATCCTCAAAACATGGAACAGGATACTAGTTTCTTCTCCAGATTCCAGGCCTGGCAACTGTAGATGCACCTGGCTAGCAAGTCTCTGCTGCTGGGAGGTGAGAAGTGAGGCCTTCAGGCGCTGAGCCTAGCGGGCTCAACAACGACCATACCCCCCAGTCACCTTGTCCTCACCTTGAGGAACAGAAAGAAACCCAACAGGGAAGGAGAGATCGGTCCTCAAAAATAGGAAAGAAGTGCCTCCATTCTTCACTCGGCAGCCACTGCTTAGACCCACACTTCCCGCGGGGCGGGGACTGTGCTGGGAGAGCTGACAGAGCGGGGACGCCTTGACCTCGGGCGCTGGAGGACCGGGCACGGACGCTGGGCCCACGGCCGGGACAGGTACACAAAAAGTCACCGCAGGTCGGGCCTGCCTCGCCTCGCCCACAGCCGCAGGCAGACTGGGAGGCACCCCGCCCCCATGAACCCAGAGGGCCCTGAGTTCGCTCACCTGCAGCCGGGTCACCAGAAGGCTGTAAGGCGCCATTTTGTGCACTGACAAAGATGAGGTCGCGTGAAAGATGACGTCCCAAACGGCCTACTTAAAGCTTTTGGGCAGAGGGCGTGGCCTGGAGAAAGGCGTCACAGTGAAGGCAGGATTTCCGCGGAGGCTCCAGAGCCAACAGGCGCAGTGGGCGGAGCTCCCGTGTGAGTAACCAATACAGAAGAGGAAAACGCTGCCTAAAACTTTTGTGGAAGTAAATACCTTCACAAAGATGTCTTATCAAAGTGCAGATTTCATATGTGTACTTCAGTTTGTCTCTTCCATCCAAATTTGGGAAAGGCATTTTTTTGTTACTCAGGGACCTGCCAGAACCTGGCTCAGCAGCTACGACGGAAACTGGTCTTTGAAAAAGTAAAGGTTTTGATCGCGCGAGAGCGAACGGGGCTTGGTGAAAAAAAATCGTGACCACCGAGGGAAGCCTAGGGAGCCAATGACGGTGACTGGGAGGCAGGAATAATGAGGGTTAAAGGTCGGGCGGAAGTTCCGGAAGCTTCCGGTGACGAGCTTGAGTGAGAAATATGGCTAAACATCATCCGGACCTGATCTTTTGCCGCAAACAGGCTGGTGTTGGTGAGACAGCTTCCATGTTCGTGGCTCTCTGGGTGGGGTTGGTATTAGGAGATGGGGAAGCGGAGGTTCCCATCTCTTCCTAGGGTCTTGCTTCGAAGGTGCCACGTTTCCCGCCTCACGGCGGGTAGCGTCGGAGCGCGCAGGTTTGCGGCCTCCAATAGTAAGAGGGCGGGGGCGCGCGTGCTGGGAGCCGAAGGTGGGTGGCCAGGGATGGTGTCCGGGGAATTTCAGATTGCCCAGGCGCGGGCAAGGGGTGGGGGGGGCTTCAGGAAGCTGTGGGTTTGGAAAGTTTATGAGGATAAGGTGGCTAAAATCGCTCAGGGCTCACTGTGAAGTCCCGGCTTCTGTCCCCACCCCAAGCTCGAGGATGTTTCCCCCCGTTCGTCAGAAACTTAATTCTCACAATACTCTTTACCATCTTTGATCTTGCAGCCATCGGAAGACTCTGTGAAAAATGTGAGTGGAACACGCCCTCCCGTACACCCCACCTTTGCGCTCAGTTTCTGTGGAGATAGCAAATGGGCATTTCCTGCGGTGCCCTAAAGAGCTTTAAGTAGATGCGCCTGGAAGCACGTGAACACTGAGTGCCAGACTGCCACCAGAGGCCTCCTCCCCCTCCCCACTCCAGCGTGCACATTTTAGACACCGTTTAGGTTTTGAGAAAATGTGTAGCTTTCGAAAGGAAGTAGCGTGACCCTGTCTCCAGCGCACAGTTTTTGCCAGTAATTATATGGACACCCTCTACCAGGTGCTGTTCTAAGCTCTTTCCTCGTTAGCTGATTGGCTTTTTCCTGCGTGTTGTGGGGGCTGAGATGGACACTGAGTAAACCCAGTTCGGCAATGCCAAAGTAGAAGGCTCAAAAGTCACTCTCAAAAGGAGACTCGTGTTTTTCCCCTGTACAAGAGGAGGGCAGAGGACTTGAGGTGCTTGCAAGTGGGCCTGACTTCATTCTCTGTTCCTCACAGGTGATGGCAAGTGCGTGATCTGTGACTCCTATGTGCGTCCCTGTACCCTGGTGCGCATATGTGACGAGTGTAACTACGGCTCCTATCAGGGGCGCTGTGTGATCTGTGGAGGCCCCGGAGTCTCCGATGCCTATTATTGTAAGGAGTGCACCATCCAGGAGAAGGATGTGAGTGTATCCTGAGCTTTGCATCTCATCTTCCTTTTATTAAAAATACTTTGTTGTCCATGACAAACTCCTGTGGTCTGTGGAGATTGCCATGTTCAGCCAGTATCCTAGATTATAATTTTTTCAAATTCTCTGAGCCAAAGTGGGAGTAGTCCAATAAAAGGCAGTTATTTTCCATCAAGGGTAAAAATGCAAGAGAAGCAAATCTTTGTCGACACCAGCAATTTGGAGAGCCCTCTCTATTCCTTTGCTGTCTCTGTTTTTATTTGGAAAAAACACGGTGCATTTTTTAAGTCCTAGCACAGTGCATGGTGTGTAATAGCCACTCAGTAATTCTCTTTACTATCATTAAGGACTGCTTGGGTGATTGTAGTAACATTTGAAATTGGGCCAGTTCAAGTTGATGTCAGCTTGGTTTGATATCGTAGAGTTGATTGTGATTCTGTCCCATGACATTTTTGCCTCTTGACATTATGTGGTGTCAGTGGCTAGCTATTAACTCCTTAAACCAAATGGAGGATAGAGGGCTTATAAATCTAGAGTAAGGATGAGTTTTACTGTTTTTCTTTAGCAGACTCCTTGGTGGTTTTTTCTTCTTGTGACACAATAAGGTGATATTGGTCCTTAAGGGACCAATAGGCTAATGAAGGTATCTGGTTACCTAATCTAGGATAAGGCAAAAGATGTATAATTCTTAATACACCCCCAAGCAAAGAATAGGTATTGTATAGATGATATCTTCCCCTATTCCTCACAATAACTTTGTTAAATAGGGATTATTATTATCATCCCCATTTTACAGACCCTCACCCAGCTAATACACAGCAAGCCCAGACTGTCTGATTAAACCTAGTGGTGTCCCCATGACCCTGAGTTGGCCTTTTGTAAATCCTTTATGGTTAGATGTGCCCATTTTGAGGAGAAACTGCACAGCCATCTCCACAGTGTATGCATTTGGATTCTCTCTTCCCCAGTTTAAGTGTGACATAGCAAGCCAGATGAGACTGTTTCTTACCCAGTTAAGTCTTATTTAGGGAGATGAGAACGGTCATAGATGAAAAATGAAAAACATAATTTCACTTGGTGATTTTAACTTTCCCCTGGCCTAAACTCTGATTTGCATTTATTTACCTTTGACTGTCAAATCATATCCTGCTTGAATCTGATCCACAGCTAAGTTCCACTCCTTTAGAGAAAGGACATTGGTTTGTGTATTTGTACCCCATTTTTCCCACTTCTTGGTACAGTGCCTGATGTGTATTGTAAGCATGGGACACGTTTTTGGTGCTGTCCCTACAAGTCATCCACTGGAGTTCCCCCTACAGACTTTCTGGTACATAGTTGGTGTTTGGTAATTATTTATAGCCTATAGCAGTGAGACCATGGTAAGGCAACAACATTGAAGAGAAAAGTGCAAATTATCTTAAACTAGCTAAAGAGTCCATTAAGGAAATTTTCTTCAACCCTTTCCAAGGTTATAGCTAGAGTTAGTATGTGGGATAAGCTTGAGGCCAGAAAGTGCTTAATGTTCACTGCTGTCTGACTCGTCTTCATGTGGTGCGTGACCCGATGCCTCTGGATCCTCATGCCGCATTCCGTCCCTGAGTAGTAGTCTAGACGTCACTTCCCCTACTGCACCTTATACAGGAATGTTCTGAGGATATTTGAGATAGCACCCAGCTCACATCTACTCAGCAGTAGTTTCCAAGGAACACAAAGCAGTCCGATGACCTGATCCAGCCTCTCAGGCTTATAGATCAGTATGCAGATTAAGAGCCTGAGGCTTTTTCCTATGCAGAAACCTTCCCACAACCAAAGCAACTCTCATTGTTCTCTTCCTGCAATTTTAATCATTTTTAAGGGAGTTAGACCAATAAACTAACCTGCGTATTCTCTATAGTTTTTCAAATCTTCCAGAATACTCGGGAGTCATCCCAATAGGCCAAGGTTGTGGGTTGGATCCCTGATCAGGGCACATACAAGAAACAACCAAAGAATGCATCAATGAGTGGAACAACAAATGGGTGTTTTTCATTCTCTTTCTCTTCTCTGCCCTCCCTTCCTCTCTCTAAAATCAAACTTTAAAAAATTTTTAAAAAATACTTGGGAGTCAGGGATAATACCTGTGGGTGTTGCTGCCAGAGGAGTAATTTCTGGTTTCCTCTAATGCAGAATCATCTTGATCCTTTGTAACCCTTGACTCCTTTACTCCTTTTACTAACCATTTTCCTCAGCCATCTGAACCAGAAAACAAAATACTAGCTAGTATTTATGGAGTTCTTGCTATGTACCAGACACTATGCTGAACATTCTTTTCCAAAAATGCTATGGATATAGATGAGGAAATTTAGGCTTAGAAATACTAAGCAGCTTGGCGCAAGGTCACATGGCTAGTAAATGGCAGATCCAGGACCAGAACCCAGGCCTATCTAACTCGGTGTTTCTTAGCATTTCTTTTCATTATTGTCCCCCAAGGAGAAAAGTTAAAATTGAAATTAAATTAAATTTTCTCTGCAACAAAAGGAATTAAATACTAAGGAATAAGAATTTGTTGGGTAAGGAGGAGCTTTAGGCCATAAACCACTATAATGTCGAAGGTGTTTTCATCCCTTTTGAAGATGCATAGACTAACTCAAAGATCTTAACTCTAACCACCTCCCTATGTTCTTAGGGTGGTTAAGGACGTGCCTGCCTCTCTCCTCTTTATACCATTCTCTTCTCATTTCAGTGAACAGCAGAGCAGTTAGATAATTTCAGTGAACAGCAGAGCAGTTAGATAAATGCAAAAGATAAGTGATATTTTTTTAAAGTTAAATCACAAATTTAGCATTATCATGTAACTGCCTAGACCACATGGAAAGTTTGGTTCTCGTGAAGCCCTGTTATAAAAAATACCAGACTGGCAGGCCTTAGAAGGCCCGTGTTCAAGTTTTGGATTTGCTACTAACATGCTGTGTGTGGCTTTGGGGAAATATACAGAAAGGAAGTGATAAGCTCTTTTACTTCATAGATGCACTTACTGAGAGTGTGAAGGTCTTTAAAAGTAAACTTTCAGATAGAAAATGTAGTGCTACTCTTAGCACCCAAACCAGCATACAGAGTGGTTTTTACATTATTGGTATTCATTAAACAGTTGCTGGGAGAACAGACAACATTTCACCTTCAAGTTTGTTAATAAAGCAGGTCTTGGCCGGGGTGGGTGGCTCAGTTGGTTGGAGCACCATCCAAATACACTAAGGTTGTGGGTTTGATCCCGTTTTGGGGCACATACAAGAAGCAACCGATGAATGCATCAGTAAGGAGCACAACAAATCGATGTTTCCCTTCCTCTCTGTGTTTCCCTCCCACTCTCTAAAATCAATTTAAAAATTTCTTAAAATAAAGCAGATCTTGCCACTGGCACCTGATCATAATTATTTGCTATCATTTGTAAGAGAGATGTGGACCCATTGTCAGTAATTACGTTTTTCTGATCTTAGAATCTTTAAAGATCTTACTTATTTTTAGAGAGGGGAAGTGAGGGAGAAAGAAAGGGAAACATCAATGTGTGGTTGCCTCTTGAGCACACCCTGCTGAAGACCTGGCCAGCAACCCAGGCTTATGCCCTGACTGGGAACTGAACCGGTGACCCTTTTGTTCCCTGTCCAGCATTCAGTCCACTGAGCCACACCAGCCAGGGCTAATCTCAAAATTTTTTAATTGCCTTTTCCTGCATTTCAGTTCTGTATAGATTTTCCTTTGGTATGTGATATTTTGGTACATGATTAGTGTTTTAAAGTTTTACTTGAAAGTCCTGGGTTTTCAGCACTGGTACAGGTAACTTTTGTAGCTTGCTTTCCTGCCATAGAAGTGGACTTGACACACAGCTGTCCTCTGGGAAAAAAATCCAGAGGCATTGTGTTCTTGGTGGCCTGCTACGGAAGCCCAGTTTAGGGTTCTCCTGGTGATGTTAGTGGGCATGTTTAGTATAAGGGAAACAAGCACTCAGTGGTACAGTGTCTACTTTTTTGTGTGAAATTTTAGCAAAAGTGGTCATAAAACACTTACCATGGGCATTCAATTTAGTACACAGCTGCCTAAAATAATAGCTCCCAGTGCGAGGAATGTGGAAATCAGTCAGTCCTCCAGAGCTGACAGACGATGAAATTTTTAGTATTCACACATACAATTGCTTAAAGAGGTACTGCCATGAAGCAGATAATTTGCAGGTTTTTAAAAATATCTTCTAGCTGAACTCACAAATATTCTCCTGTGCCGTCTTCCAAGGTTTCTTACCAGTCCTTCCATCTTCCTTCCCGTGCTCTCCCTTCATGCATTCCAGCAAAAGCCAACCAGTTCCAGTGTCCACATCCTTACTTTTCACAGCATTGGTAGAATTTGGGAATGACCATGAAATACATAGGAAATATGTAGAAAATAAAAAACAGTTTAGGCAGGAAAACAGGAAACCTGTGAGTCAGTGAGAAAAAAATGCCATTAAATCCCAAAGATCTAATAATCGAATACATTGGTTTACCAACTTCTTAAAAAATATGTAGAGTCCTATCTTTACAAAAATACCTTATACCGAAGCTGTGTGTGTTTGAGCTATTACGAAATTGCTGGTATTTGGTTTTGGCAATTTCTTATAACTTATTGAGAGCTGACTGTGTACCAGGTACTGTTCTAAGTATATTTATTGATTCTTAATTCTAGGTCGGTTATGCCAATGCGATAGAAAAGAGACACATGGAGGTTAATAAACTTATCAAAATACAGGTCACCTAGCTTCAGATCCTGCCATCTTAACCTAGGCTCTGAGTGAGAATGGAGCTGCACATATCAGGCAGCACCTCTCAGCTCTCCAGGGCCAGGTAAATACAAATGTGTGAGCACTGACCAGTCTACAGGAATGAGTGATTTCCCTGAAGTCACACAAGTCAGTGATTTGCCTACAGTCACACAACTCAGTAAAGTACAATAAGTCTATAAACAGGCTGTCATCGTACCACAACATTTCATACCAACTCCGAAGATTTTAGAGCTCTCTTATGTTTAAGGTCAGGCTACTTTGAGGAAAAGGCAGCTGTTCCTCATTTGTATTAGGACTTTCAATACAAATTGCGTGGCTTACTAGAGTTCACCTAGCAAGCTGCAGTTGGGCCTGAGCCCATAGCCTGGCTCCCTCAGCGTACCAAACTCTACAGATGGCAGTTCTCAATGTGGTAACATAGCACATGTTTTCTAGAAAATAATGAAATGTTAGTGTTGGGTTTTTGTTTGTTTTTTTAAATTGATTTTAGGGAGAGAAACATTGATTCATTCCACTTATTTGTGCCTTGATCGGTTGATTCTTCCATGTTCACTGAGTGGGGATCAAACCTGCAACCTTGGCCAATCAAGATGTCCCTCTAACCAACTGAGCTGCCCAGCAAGGGTTCAGATATTTTTGCAGTGTTAGTATCAGCCCCTGAAGAGAGAAATCAGCTGCATTAGAAATGAGGTGTCTAAGGACTTCATTGACTCATACTATAGGCCAGTGTCACAGAGAACAACCTCCTTTGACATGGAGGTTTAATAAAATCATTAGACCCGTGCAGGTTTTATGCAATAGCAACTCCCCCTGTTTTCCTCCCATCCGTTCCAGATCAGCTGAGGAAGTCACATGTCTGCAGAGCACAGCTTCCCAGGGACACTGAAACCACTCGAGCTCACAAAATGGCCAGGGGAGCATGTCATTACAAATCAGAGTAGGGACATCAACAGCCATCCCTGGCACAGGAACACTCTTTCCCCCAGACCATGTGTCACATTGAGAGAATGAATAAGGACACATCAAACCCAGTGTTCTGTGAGATTTAAAATGGAAGGTACTATTTCCTTAAGTCTTTTAAGTTTTCCTTGGTAGTCTCTCCTTTCTTGGGATAGTGGAAGAGAGCTAGAGAGCTGGGTTTGTAGATGATTGTTACTTTTATCTTTCACTAGAAGAAAATCCTTTGGATATTTTAAGAGTTTCAGGTCGTGCCTCGACTGTCATTCTAGCAACTGACAAGGGCTAAGAATGCAGGCCACTGGATTGCAGGTAGATGGGCTCTGGGCACGTTCTGGTTACTTGGTAGGTTCTTGACAATTGATTAAATAGCATAACTCAGATGGCAAGGCGTATGGCTGGACCATTAATCCAAATGTTATTTCCATGTTAAATGCCCCTCAATATAGGCTCAAAGACATTTGACAACTTCTCTTTTCTTCTGTTTTCCAGAGAGATGGTTGCCCAAAGATTGTCAATTTGGGGAGCTCTAAGACAGATCTCTTCTATGAACGCAAAAAATACGGCTTTAAGAAGAGGTGATGGGTAGGTGGCCTCTTCCTCCCCTCATCCAGCTGCTGCAGCTGCCAGAAAAGACGCCCGCTACTGCCAACAGAAAGGGAATGGAGCACAAAACATCACCCAAATCTCCTCTCAGTACACCGGCACCTTCCCACCTTTCCTTTCCTCTCACCCCGATAAGGTGGTAGGAATGGAACAGGATTCGTCACAGAGTATTCTGGCAGACTGTATGTGGGAAAAAATGATAGGTTAGCTCATGGTTTTTCTTGAATTCAAGAAGCAAGACTGTTTTCCACACTGATAAGCTCTGTCTACAGCAAGAGCTTCTAAAACAGAAATAGTATCATTTCAGTGTTCCTCAGGATTTGACTGGGAAGGTACCTGTGTTTATACAGCAGCTCTGCTGGCAGTTGTCTGTGATGAAACCTCAGCAGTGTGGTAGGGAGCTCTCAGAACAATAAATGTGGCATTTAACCTTGGTAACACTTACCAGGTAGTGCTGGTTCATGTCATTGCTCTTCTGAGAATATGGAAACCCTTTCTGTTGCTATTGTACTAATAAAGGAGGTGTTTATTTTCTGGTAGTTGATCACTGTCCAATTTAAGTTTAACTCTAGGAATTTATTTTAGTCACCCAAGAATTTGTGATTCAGAATAGAGGTATTAGGATTCATCAAGCAACTCATTCTGTTACTACTACTGGAAAGAATTCAAAACTAGCCATTCTCTGCATTATAGGTAGACCAAAGTCATTTTCCGGAATGTACTGTTTTTTCTTCCTGTCCAACTTTAACTTTGAACTGAAGAGATAATTTAGTTGATTTGTTTCATAAAGTGCATATATACTCACATGAAGGATTTTTTTAAGTAAAGTAATAGACTGAGGGCAAATTCAGACATTTGACCCTAACAGCTCTCTATACTATATGCCCACTAGAGGTGATAAGCAAGTTAACCTGAGGAGGCACATTGATAATTTGAGACAACTAGTTAGGTAAGTATTCGGACACTATTGATTTGAAAAAGGCTTCAAGCCTCAAGGATCCAGGGGTTTGATCCAAGGTTGTGCCGCAATTTGGAGGCAAAGCCATGGGAAGAAATAAGAGTGCGCGCGGGCGCTCTCGCTCGCTCGCTCGCGCTCTCGGGGTTTTTTTTGTTTGTTTGTTTGTTTTTAATTTTTTTTTTTTACTGTATTTAGAGAGAGGGGAAGGGAGGAAGAAAAAAAGGGAGAGAAACATCCATCTGTGGTCGCCTCTTGTGCGCCCACTACTGGAGACCCTGTGGTTCACAGGCCGGTAATCCACTGAGCCACACCAGCCAGGGTAAGATGAGAGTGTTCTGACTTCTTCGGTTTGGATCAACAGAACTCCTGATTTTTTTTGATGGACTGTGTGCCTTCAGGAATTTAATAAAGGAGCCTGCCAGAAACAGTTCCAGTATAACCCTGAGGATGCACAAAGGGAGGGTTCTTGACCCACCTTGGAGACACCTCAGGAAAGCTGGGGGAAGTTCATGGTCACGGGGTAAAGATAACCCTTATGCCTTCCTCATCTCGTCTCCTGCCACCAGTTCCCTGCACTCCAGCCACTGCGGTTCCTTTCAGTTTCTGAAACTGCTGCTCTCCTTCCTGCCCCAGTGCTTTGTACCTATTAACTCCTCTCCAAGCTTGGTCACTGTTGCTCAGCCAACTCCTACTCATCCTTCAGACCTCAGCTAAATATTTCCTCAAAGATGCCTGTCTGCACCCCCAATCTAAGTTTCCCTGCTTTATGTCTGTGTAGCACTGTAAGAATTTGGTTTATAGTGTTTGGTAATTGCTGACTGTCAGCTACTAGGCTGTGTTCTGTGGTAGCAGGAACCAAGTCTGTTCTGTCCAACAGGTAGCGGGTGCTCTGTATTGAATAAATAAGTGAAGGAAACCAGATAATAAATTAGGCTTTGAAGCACATGTTGGAACCTATAGGCAAAGAAGGTGGAGGGCAGGTCAGGGCATTCATGGGTTAGGGGAGACTGTCTGAACAGGGCGATCTGTTCGGGAGCTCTAAGCAGATCTAAAGCATCAGGTAAGAGTTATGGTATGTCAGAATGTTGGAGAGAACAGATTGTTTTTAGATAAAAATCAGGATTGTCATTCCATAGTAATTTTTGTTGTAAAGTGTAATATGAGTCAAAATGTCTTGCCAAGGAAACATTAATTTTTTAAAATGTGCTTATTAACCACCCTGATTGAGGTAACATCTGGCATCTACAAATGTTTCCAAAGCTACTCCTTAATTTCAACCTTAAGCACTCTGTCAGCCTCCACATGAATGCCTCTAAAACACCTTGCAAGGAAACGAGCCCAGTTGGAGGTCAGAGGTTATGCCCCCTCCACACCGAACACCAATGGGGCGAGTTTGACTTCACCCCTTTGATTTTCTCTGAATGGTACTCCTTTGGTCACCTAATTTTATAACCCCATTCCTGGTTCATTTCTTTTAAGATACCAAGAGAACAATAGAATGCAATCAATGAGTTCAAAATCACCTGAGATAAAGTAATTCCTTTTCAACTGGGAAAATTGGCATACTAATAGTACAATTCTCTATGGAGAAAACATCACTTACAAGCTGAATTTGAACCTCTATCTGTGTACAGTTCTGTGAAGAGAATTAGAATTGATCTGTGTAGGGCCACAAAAAACCAGAATGGTCTTCAGAATTACTCTTTTTCTCCATTATTGAAATAAGCACTGCCTTCGTAGAGAAAGTCGTTCCCTTCCCTGGGTATGATTGATTAATCTCCTTCAAACATTACACTTACTACATTGCTCTTGCTTTAAAAAATAATAATAAGCATGTTGGCTTTATAATGAGACCTTGATTCCTGCTCTATTGCCTATAGTGAGTCATTGAGCCTTTCTGTGCTTCTTATTTCTTACCTACTAAATAAGGATAATAGTGCCTAGCTTTTTGGGGACATAGGCTTAAATTTGACCCTGTAAGCCCTGACTGGTGTGGCTCAGTTGGGTGTCTTTTGGCAAAGGGAAAATCGCAGGTTCATTTCCTGATCAGGGCACATGCCTGGGTTGTGGGTTCTGTCTTGATCAGGGGCACATACAAGAAGGAGGTAGCTGATCCACGTTTCTGTCCCACATTGATATTTTGCACTCTTCCCCCTCTCGCTAAAAGTAAATAAAATAAAAATTGGACCTTATAAATGCTTGACTTTTACTGGGAAGGCTTTACATAAATGGTGGTTCTTTTACAGTGAGTCCCTACTTCAAAGAGAAATATTTACGTCCTGGCACGGAAGGTCCTCCAGATGGTTCCCTCTCCCCCCTACCCCCAAGGTTTTTCTCCATCTCTGCTCTTCATTAGGCAGTTGTGGGGACATACCTTGCACACTCCTGTGCTTTTGGCTCTTCGTCGTCTTTTGTTTGAAATACCCTTTCACCTTCACACCAGCCAGCCAACTTGGTACCTTTCCCTTCTAAGCTCCTGGAATCTCGTGAATGCTTCCAGTGCCCCACAACAATCTCTCACTTGGACTATTTTCATGCCTAGTATATACATACAAGTTTCATAAAACAATATTTACTGTGTATTGCACTCCAGTATTTCCATTTTATTCATTTGTATTCTGAAGATTCTGGCTGAAATCCATTAAACTAAGTAATTTCATGATCCCACTAATGGATCACACCCCAGAGTTTCAAAACTGACATCATGAAGTCCTTGAGCTCCTTTCCCCTCCCACCACTACAGGGCACACAACAGGCAGCCCCTCAGATAATTACTACATTGGACTGGAAAAAGGGTCACAAACTGAGGAGTCAGGGTGAATGACATAATTGATTGAACAGGGAGAAGTGTAAGCATAGCCTAAACATGATGGTAAATGGTATGTGACCCTTGGCTTCCAAGCCTGGGAGACAAAAGGGAAGTGGAGACCTTGGGAGAACCAGAGAGCACAGGCCCTGTTTTAAAGAAGAGGGTTGCCATTCAACTCCAAAGAATTGTCACCTTGAATGCCCAGTGTTATCAGATCTTAACAATTGGCAAAATATGATTTTTGTGCCATCTTCCAATTTTTAAATGCCACTTCTTGCCATGCTCAATTGGTTGGAGCATCGTCCCTTAACTGAAAGGTTACGGGCTTAGTTCCCAGTCTGGGCACGTACAAGAGACAACCAGCATGTTTCTCTCTCTCCGTAAAACAAATGAAAATATGTCCTTGGGTGAGGATAAAAAAGAAAGTCAACTCACTTAAAAATTTTTAATGTGTCAAAATATGCTATGACAATACATCTAACAGATGTGGACATTGGCCTGCCAATTAGCAGCTTTTTTTTCCCTTGGAGAGAGAGAAACAGAAACATCACTTCGTTCCACTTATTTATGCACTCATTGGTTGCTGCTTGTATAATGCCCTGACCTGAGATCAAACCCGCAACCTTGGAGTACTGGGACAACAGCCTAACCAACTGAGCTACCTGGCTAGGGCCCAATTAGCAGCTTTTAAATTAAGAAAAAGAACTCCCTAGAGAACCAAACTGAAATGACTAAATTTCAGAGAGACTGTCACTCTGTTTTGACCTGTAGCTGCTTAATAGTTTGAAGCTAGGACACAAAGGTGACAGATTCTTTGCCTTGGTTGGAACTTTTGTGCCTAAAAAAAAGGATTCCAATTCCCATCTTTCCCGTTTTTCAGTTCCTTGTCAACTCTATCCACCACCAAGACTAAAATGTTACTCTTAGCAAAAGATAGGTTTGTTCACTTGTTTACTAGAATTTACTCTCATTGGTTGTGATTAATAAACAGCAAATCATTTGCCCCGTACACCCAATCACTCCTCCAAAGCCAGTTCCTGCTGTGGCTTGCTTTGCTCCTGCTCCACTGTGGCAGTGGATCTGAAGAATTTGAAGAATCAAATTGAGGAACAGTTTTCTTGGATAATAAAAGAAACCACAAAATTGGTCACCCTGGATGTGTATACCAGAGTGACTCACCCCTGACAGTTAATTGGTCCTAATTATGACCAGCCTGACTTGTCAGAGTAACAAAACATCTGGCAGCACTTGCTTGCTGTCAGGGGAGCTGCCCCTACCGCTCCCCTCTGCGCATGCTTACTTTAAAACTCACCGCTTTAAAAAACATGGTGTGTGCCTTTGAAGGGATGATTATTCAAAAATGGGAAGGGACTGTGGAATGCTTGAGTAGGGATTCAGCTCACAAGCCCTGGCAAGATGAAATCATGTTGGGAGGAGAAAAGCCGTCTTCCTCACCACATAACTGGAGACATCAGCAGTTAAGAAGGGCGATTACCTTTTTCCCTGTGTTTTACCTTTTCCTGTTTGCATGCTAACCGTTTACACAGGGCTCCCGTTTGAGACGGAGGCTGGATTTCTGTTTGCTTTTAGAGACGTTGCTCAGGGCTGCTGTGCTTCCAGCAGTGCAAGGGGAGACAGGAATAAAAGCACGAGCACACGAATTGAGCGCCTTCCTTCCAGCGATCAGTCCGCCCTCTCTCAGCCTGGATTGAATGGTAGGAGTCCTCTATCCTTGTATCTGCTTATATGAACTCCGTTGCCCTCTTCCTGAGATACCCTAGAATTCCTTTCAGCTCACCATCTTTCTCATCATTCTGTCTTGTAAGGTTTCTTATTGGGGAATGCACGCTGAATTGAACACAGGATATGTAAAACGTAATTTGCCAGAATGGTTACCTTTAAGAATAGCAACTATTTGTCAGGCTTTGCATACAGTATCATGTTTAAGCCACACGATCTCCAAGTCAAAGATGAGAAAACAAGTCTGATGATGTAAAGAAATTTATTGCCATTAAATCGAGATAACATGATTGATGGCAGAATTAGGATTCAAAGCCACATATTTCCATGGCTACCTCTAATAAATTACTACAAATACCAGCATGCTTTGCAATGCCCCACTGCGCAAACGCTTGCTCTGCCCAAGGGCCTGATTCATCGGCACTCGGCCCCCAACCCTAGTCCCAGCGGTTGGATCAAAAACCCAATCAGATGCCTCCTCTCCCCTGCACTGGGCCAATGGGAAGGCTGTTGCTAACACACCAGGTTTATTTTTAGCTGTTCTGTTCACTGGCACCTTGTGGGTCGCCGGGGCCTCTGCCCAGGCAGGACGTGCTAGGGGAAAAGGAAAACAAAAACGGGTAGCGGAGCGAAGGGACTGGGAGGGGGAAAGCGGGGCGGGGGGGGGGGGGGGGCGGGGAAGGGAGGGGAGAGGAGTGAGGAGGAGCGGGAGTGGGGGCATGGCGGAGGGGGCGTGTATGTGACGTTCTGCCTCTCGCTGACGCACATGGCAAGTAGTCCCTGGAGGTGCCCCAGGAGCTGAAGCACTCAGAGTGTGGGGGATGGGGCTCTCGTGTTCCCGATCACTCGCACCTCCCTTCCCCCGTGGAGTTTGCCCTCCCGTCCGCCGTTTCTTTGCTGCAGTCAAGGAAAGCTCATTTAAACCCCCACACTACCGTTGCTCTCTGCCCTTGCCAAAAAGAGTGATCAAGGAAAAAATATGCAAACTGTTCATAGCTGGAGACTTTACGATCTCACCCACCCAACATGGGCTCAGCGGCTGCCAATGGGCTGGAACCCTCTGAGATAAGAATAAAGGTCAGGGATGGGAGAGACCTGGGGAATGGGCGATTAAAGGAGGAACAGGGTAAAAGACTTTAACGCTCAAGCTCCCTGGAACCCCATGCCTCGCCACCTGACAGTCCGGGCACAGGCCTCCCTTACTCCTTACTCAGCGTCGCACGCGGTCACATAGTGACCAAGAGCCTGCGTGACCAGAGCCCGGGCAAGAGGCAAGTGCGCACGGGCCTGACACACCAAGTCCCGGGTTCGCCGAGCCTCGATCCACCGCCCGAGGGACCGTCGGGTGCGCGGTCCCGACGTCCCTGGCAATGTCAGGCGCCACCACCCGAAGGCTGGCTCTGCTGCTAAAAGAAATGTGGCTTTCTAGTGTCCCCTATGGAGGTCGTCAGCCGGGGAGAGAACGGGGGCGTCCGCAGAGGGGCCGGGCCCCGCCGCGAGGTAACAGGGCGCCAGAGGCGGCTCATTTTCCCTGCCGGCCTCTTCCTCGTCTCACCCTTCTCCAATTCAGCGTGCCCGGTCCCGATTTCCCCCTCGCCCCCCCGTAGACGTTACAGGCGTTCCCCGACGAGGCACGGGGCGCTTGGGAGAGTCAGACCAACCCAACTTGATAAAGGTCCAAAACGTTTCCAGAGCTCAGGTCGTGCCCTTAACGGCGCCCCCCCCCCCCCCGCGGCCCCCAAAATTGGGGCGGTGCTAGCGCTGCGGGATTGGTCGGACGTCCAGAGCTGGAGGCACTCGCCTAGATGGTCTGGGGGCAGGTGTAGTAGGGCCGAAGACACAGCGTGGACGTTTCCCTCCCCACAAATATCCCTTCATCCAATACACCCAAAGTAAGGAATCCGGTCCCAATCCAAGGCCTTGCCCTAGCGGAACTTTTTGTTCATCTGGGGAAACACCTTACACAAGGATCACGATTATAGTGGTTTGGACGATGAAGAAAATAACTATGAGAAGGCGCCGCGATGGGGAGCGCAGACAGCTTTGCTGACGTTTGAGCTAGGATATGAGTGATGAGAGGGGGCCCGCCACAGCGGTGTGGGGACGAAAGAAGAGGGGGTCGCTAAGTACCCTTCAGTTTGTCAGAGAGGGGCCTCACGGCCCCAAGGGTTAAGCCGTCAGCCCGATCGAAAGTAGTCCCGGCACGGCGCCGGCCCCGCCCCTGCAGGGCGGAGGGACGCATCACTCAGGGGTGGGGAAGCAGGATCCGTGCGCAGGGTTGCCAAGGGTGAAACTTTTCATTGACTTTGCTCACTTCGGGCCGGGGCGCGGGGAGGTGAGGGTCGTCGTGGAGTGGAGTGAGTGGCTCGGAAGACTCGGGGCTAGAAGGGCAGAACCGCCCTCCAGCCACAGCCCGAACCGTCCTCCACCCCGTACGCGAGCCACCCTCCCGTCCGCCATCCCAGCGCCGTCGCTGCCGGCCGGCCCGTCCTCCCTCCGTCCCCCACCGCTGAGCCCAACCTACAAAAAGCTGAATTATTATTGAGAGCCATAGCCCAGAACCCCACCAAGTCGCTCCCAAACCTCAACGAAGAAAAGGACACATTGTCTCCAGCCCGGCTGCGCCCAGGAACAGAAGGGCGAGCGACCTCTGTCCCGTACCCCGGACCACCCTGGAGGGAGAAGCCGCCCCGTGGTCGGCAGCCCGCCCCGCCGCCGCGGAGACCCGAGTGAGTTGAGTGGGGGGCTTGCGGGCGGGTGCCCCCGATACCCAATAGTCCCGACATCTTCTCCCGTTCCACTCCCGCTCTTCGCTTTGCTGGACGCTCCACGTTGCTGTCGCGCCCCCGCCCCACGCCTGGCCAGCATTTTTCTTTTCCCCGTGCTCCATTTCCCATCCTCACGCTCCTGCCATTCTGGGGTACCCCAGAGCCCCTTTCTCTCCCTATTGCAAGTGTAGGTCCCTCCTGGGTGGGGTGCATTTCCCCTCTGTTCGCCGCCCTCAGTTCTTCATGTCCTAGAGACTAGCTTGATTTTTCTTGTTCCTCAACTCTCACCCCACAAAATAAATCAGAGGAAGGAAGGGGATCTGGGCCTTGTTTTCTGCTTTCTTTCCCGTGTGCGGAGAAAAGGCGGGTGGCGATAATTAATCGGGTTTATTTCTGGCCCTGCGAAGCCTGAGAGATGAAGGGTGACACCCCCCCCCCCCCCCCCCCCCGCTTTTGGACCGGTGACTGGTGACTGTCCTCTGGCCGCTGAGCCAGAATTCACCATTTAGGCTTAAGCTCTTTATTCTCTTTAGTGTTTTTAGTGGAAACTGGGCAGGAAAAAAAAAAGTACCTTTAGAGCTATACCAGTGAGTGGATTCTGGTTGATACTGGTGAGGTGCCTGGGAGGAAGAGCCCTGCTCCTAAATTCTTTCCCCTCCTGTCCAAAGGATGGACTGTGTCCTTGACCAGAAAGGGAGGGGAAGGAGGGAGCAGAGAGGAAGGGCAACTGGCAGGTCCTTTTCCACCCTCCCCAAGAGAAACCAGAACCCTACACAGCAGGCTTCAACTTGGGGGCCAGTGGAAGGGGTTTTGGGGGCCTCTCTGTATACTAACCTTTTTCTCCTTCCTATCCACCCTACCCTGGGAGTGGGTCCCTCGCCTTAGATTTTTCCAGCAGAAAAACATCCCTATTGCTTTCTTGGGCACCTGGCCCCCATCCCCCTCTTAAGCGGAGGGTGAGAGAAGCTTGTGTGGGAGGAAGGATTAGGGAGGTTTGTTTAACACCCTGTAGGGGAGTTTTGCCTAGGATCTGGTAAGTCTGGTCAAAGAGCAGGCCTTGCAGTGGGAGGAGGCTCACAAACAATTTTAAGTATTGAAAGGTGATGTTCAGGTGTCAGAAGTAGTTTTTCCTTTCCTGCCCGGGAACCTCTTCCCATTTCCCTCACCGTGTCTGGTTACTCGGACTTGGATTAGAAGAGGGGTGAGGCCCGGGCCCTGCTGGCTTCTGGCCTTCTGATTGCCGGCCGGCGCCTCCCCGCAGCTTAACTGGGAATTTCTTTGGCTGAGAGGACGGTAGAACTGGCTTTTAATTACTGCCTTTACTTTCCTGGTTGTTGGGGCGCTGGAGCCGAGCCGGCTGGTCACTAACTGAAAAGGCTCTTTCTTTCTTTCTTTTTCTTTTTTTTAAGATTTTATTTACCTTTTTTTTTAAGGGAGGGGGGAGAAAGAGAGGGAGAGAAACATCAATGTATGGTTGCCTTTCGTACGCCCCCAACTGGGGACCTAGACTTCAACCCAGACATGTGCCCTGACTGGGAATCGAACCAGTGACCCTTTGGTTCACAGGGCGGCACTCGATCCACTGAGCCACACCAGCGAGGGCAGGCTCTCTTTTTTTTTTTTTTTTTTTTTTTTTTTTTTTTTTTTAATCCACCAGCATCGCTACAGCAACTCCAGATGGAGACCACCAAACCCCAGGAATACAGATTAACTGACTGGGGTGAGGGGGTGGGAATGTGACCTTATCTATTTGAGCCCACCGCCTTCAGCCAGGAAACCTCATTTGAAGCAGATCCTTAATACCACAAACACGGGAGGCGAGAAAGAGAAAAGTTCAGCCTCTCGAGAAACCGAGACATGGATATAGTAGGATGATGCAGTACGTTGAGTAGGCCTTATGGTAGAATTTATATAAAATGTATTAGGCGGTGGGCGGGGGAGGGAGCCCTCGAGCACAGCGCGCATGTGCCTCGGAAACTTTTCCTTGGTTCTCCATCCTCGGCCAGCTGCCCTTACTGGGCATGCGTAGTTTGCTGGCGGAGCCTTCGCAAAGTACGCAGGGAGGTGTAGTGTGCAGAGAAAGTAGGTCACTTGGTTCGACCTGAGCTTGAGGTTTCTGAGGACTACAGATCCCAGGGTGCGGGGCGCGACTTCGCCGCCGGCCTCCCCAGTTACATTGGGGCTCAGTCGAGCTTTCCTGGCTTCGGGAAAACCTGGCATGCCCTAGAAAAGGCCCTCTTAGGGGGAAGGAGCCTTGCAGTCAGACTTGGGCTGTGCCAGCCAGTGTTTGGGGGAGTTGGTGTGAGACTCTGGGTGGGGTTGTGCAGTCGGCCGGCACAAGTCCTGGAAGCCTTTCTCCCACACCCACCCCACCGGTGCTCCAGGGCTGGTGGGGTGGGTTTGTCCCCTGTGGCCCTGGGGCTCAGCTCTTACTCCCTGGCACCCAGGTTGTGACACTTACTGTCAAAATTAAGGTCCCCTCCTCCCTGACTCCTCTGCCCACACTCGCTTGAATCCAGTTGTACTTGATTGTAAGTCGCTTTGATTGTTAACGCTTTGGATGCCTGAATATTTTTATAGGTTCTTATAGTTTGGGAGCCTGGGGGGTTCCCTGGCCATTATCTTTCCTTTTCTCTTTTTATTTTTTATTTTTTTAAATAGAAAAAGAAGGACATTGATATATTGTTTTATTCATTTATGCATTCACTGATTGGTTCTTGCATGTCCCCTGACCAGGGATGGAACCCATAGCCTTGGCATATGGGAATGACACTCTAACCAATTCTACCCAGCCAGGGTCTCCTTTTCTCCTTTTATATATAACGATTTTTTTTCCTTAAAATTCTTCCTTTGCATTTTTGTTAGGCATTTTCTTTGGAATCTCCATTACCATGTCAGTGACTGCAGCCGTCACCACTCTCGTTTTTGCCCTTTTATGCACTTTTCTTTAAAACAAGTCAGCATGAGGCATCCGATTAACTTTGTTGCTGGAAGTAAACAAGTGAAGGAGGATAAGATTCTAAATGGGTTGGACAGAAGTTATTCTCACATTTGCAACTTTTTAATATATTTACAAAAAGTAGATTTGCCATGGTTAAACAGTTAGCCCCTCCCCTACTTATTTATTTATTTTATTTATTTATTTTTGCCGCCTTTCTGGCCTTTTGCTCCTGAGTCAAGATTGGAAAAGTTCTATGAGTTCTTTCCTGCTGCTTAACCCAAATCTACTTGTGTCTTTTTTTGAAGGATAGTTATTTCTAAGCCTTCTAATCTTACCACATTCTATAAATATTTTATATGTAAACTCTAGAATTTGTTCATTGCCTAAAAAAAAAATGAGCGAACTCATCAGAGTGGTCACTTCTATCTTTAGTTAAAGACAAGACAGCACTAGTGCTTTAACCCTCTGTTCCATAAGCTTCTTGAAGTCAAAATTAGAACCTGAGCTGATAGAGCAGAAAATCTCATTCTGGTTGTCCGGCATTTTTGTAAGGTTCCACCCCACAGCCATCTGGCCTGGCCTGTTCTCCAATTAAAGAGGCAAAGGTGGCATTATATGTACTTCCTTATTTGTGCCACAGCGTCACTGAGGTATAAATTGGTCTGCAGCTTTAGTTGCTTATGCTGCAAAAAATGGGTAGCTAAGCAGTGGCTCTATTGTATTTTAAGGTAGGAGGTTTATTTCCCAGTGACTCTGGCCTGCCTTTAAAATGCTCTCATTTTGAGACTGAACTGTTTAGGGGAGGTTAACTTGGAGGGCAAATATGCAGTAAAGTTGGAGATGGGCTAGAAAGGTGTAGGAGCCCTTTGGTCTGGGTGGCGTCCTAAGAGGCCATGTGATGCCTTGAGAAGTATCTTGTACTAGATTCAAGTCTGTTTTACTTTTTTGAAAACACTGTCTTTAGCTTCAGGCTTATTCCTGGAAACCAGTGCCAACTCTCTTCACAACATTTTAGTCTCCTCTGTGTTGGACACCTCTGGTAGGCTGCCGTGGCCCTTACACAACTCCCTTCCTGAGCGGAAGCCCAAGTTCCCGGTGGCTGGCTTTGCATGTGGTGATGAACCCAGTCCTCAGAAACAGAAATCCCCTTATCTTCACTCTCCTTTCTGCTCTTAAAGCCAGAAGTACCCTGGAATTGATCTGTGGTGACCATGAATAGACATTTAAAGCAACTTGAAGATTCAGTGTTTGTTGGAGGCTGGGATAGAAGGGAGAGAAGGGCCACCTGAATCCTGAGCATCCCTGTGGGGAGCTTGGGAGAGGCCATGGTCGGGGCACCTCTGTTGACTGCCAAGAGAGGACCCTCTGTCCGCTCAGAACGGAAGCGGGGGCAAGACTAGACCTGGCCAGTGTGTATGATGCTCCAGATTGACCCAGTACTTCTCCTCTGAAACTCCCCTCAGAGAGCTTCGCTTGAGGATTCAGTCCTAAAAATGCCTCTAGGGAACATGGCCCAGGTCTGAGAATTACAGGGAAGTGAATTGAGGCAGGTGTTCAGAAAATTCAAGATCCTTAAGCCTAGAATTAGTCCTTGGATACTCTGTGCTGGACCAAGAGTGGATTTTAATCAAATTCCAGCTCTAGGTCTGTCGCAGGACAGAAGGTGTCCTTGACAGATCCTGGATCAGCCTTGCTTCTGTGCTGAGCTCAGCAACAGGGCCTCACCCAGACGCCTGGCTAAGAACATGTTCTGGCCTTGGTGGCCCTGCAAGGCAGGTGGCCGTTTCAGTTCAGTTCTCCCATACCATGAGCCTGGAGCTGTCCTTTTGCGAATGTGAGGAGATGAGGATCACTGGCTCTTAGGACCTGACAGATCATCTTCCTGGGACGTGAGTTTGGCCCAGAAGTCAGGAATAAACCTCTTTGACCTCTGTGTGATCTGGCTGTGAGAGAATCCCAAAATAACAATCTGAGTGTTTATCTTGGGCCGCCTCCTCTCCAGGGATCTCCAAACACTTGATAAATCTGATCTGGTGCCAAGGACAGGTGGTCAGACAGTCCCTGGGAGGCTGAGTGATGATGGAGCCCCAGCTGGAAGCCTCAGGGTGATGGAAAATTTCTTCTCTCTGCCCTCCTCATCACCTACTGTCTAGACGTTTGTAGGCCAACAGGACCCCCCTTCCTCCTCCTTTCTCCTGCAGCCCTGGGGCAGTCCTCATCAGCAGTTCCATTGTTGGCCCAGACCTCTTGACTTTTTCCTGGGAATCATGCTCTCATCTCATTCTTGGAGGCCATCTGGATGGCAAATGCTTGCGTTGGTTCCACTGCGCAGTTCTTAAATCAGTTCTGCAGACCCACCGTGAGCCAGAGCACATAGTATACGCAGGAGCCCGGCATGACAAACCAGATGTGACTGGAGTCCAAGCCTTCAGTGAAAAGTTGGCAGTGCTACTTCTTGTTTAGTGACCTGTATCCCTTTCCATTTAAGGAGGAAAGCTAAAGATTTTAAACTTATATCCCAGCCTGTGACAATTTGGGAGCACAATTTCACCAAGATACTGCAGAAACAAGTTAACAGGAGCCTTCCCTTCTCCAGCTGAGTTAAGGGCTCAATTTTTTCATGTTACTTGTACAGTGGTGTGAATTCTCAAAATACTGGGAAGCACAACATCCTTATTTCTTTAGAATTACTTAAAAAAAAAAGTTAATTTTATCAAGTACTTACTGAATACCAGGTACAGCATGAGGCAGTTTATATTCTTGACCTAACCAAGTCCTCATGATAACCTCATGTTGCTGATGAAACTAAGGCTCAGAAAAAGTGATTTGCCCACAGTCACACAACAAAAGAGTCACTAGTAGAGCAGAAATGGGACCTTGGGGCTTTTCTGTCCTTTGCCATTGATTGCTCTTGGCTTTCTGCTTATCTACTCATGATGCCCTCTCTTGTTTCCCAGAGCCATCTGGATCCCAAGGCTGCCTACCTTCCGTCTTCAGCCCTTGGCCTGTGCACGTGCCCCGCGCTGATTGTCTGCCTAGGAAAAGACCATGCAGCTGGAGATCAAAGTAGCCCTGAATTTCATCATCTCCTACTTATACAACAAGCTGCCCCGGCGGCGGGCAGACCTGTTTGGGGAGGAGCTAGAGCGGCTTTTGAAAAAGAAATATGAAGGCCACTGGTACCCTGACAAGCCACTGAAGGGCTCTGGCTTTCGCTGCGTCCACATCGGGGAGATAGTGGACCCTGTGGTAGAGCTGGCCGCCAAGCGCAGTGGCCTGGCAGTAGAGGATGTGCGGGCCAACGTGCCTGAGGAGCTGAGCGTCTGGATTGACCCTTTCGAGGTGTCCTACCAGATTGGTGAGAAGGGGGCTGTGAAAGTGCTGTACCTGGATGACAGCGAGGGCTGTGTTGCCCCAGAGCTAGACAAGGAGATCAAGAGCAGCTTCAACCCTGATGCCCAGGTATTCGTGCCCATCGGCAGCCAGGACAGCTCTCTGTCCAACTCCCCATCACCATCCTTCGGCCAGTCTCCCAGCCCCACCTTTATCCCGCGCTCCACCCAGCCCATCACTTTTACCACCGCCTCCTTCGCTGCCACCAAGTTTGGCTCCACCAAGATGAAGAAGGGCGGTGGGGCGGCAAGTGGCGGGGGTCTGGCCAGCAGTGGGGCGGGGGGCCAACAGCCCCCACAGCAGCAGCCTCACATGGCCCGCTCTCCCACCAACAACCTGCTGAAGCACAAGAGCCTCTCTTTGTCTATGCATTCACTGAACTTCATCGCGCCCAACCCCGCCCCTCAGTCCCAGCTCTCGCCCAACGCCAAGGAGTTCGTGTACAATGGCGGTGGCTCTCCCAGCCTCTTCTTTGATGGGGCCGATGGCCAGGGCAGTGGGGCCAGCACCTGCAATAGCAGCAGCTTCGACATGGCCCAGGTATTTGGAGGTGGTGCCAACAGCATCTTCCTGGAGAAGACGCCCTTCGTGGAGGGCCTCAGCTACAACCTGAACACCATGCAGTACCCCAGCCAGCCGTTCCAGCCCGTCGTGCTGGCCAACTGACCGCCCGCCAGCCTGGGGGCCTGGGGCACCCAAGACCACAGAAAAGAGAAAGGAAAGGAAAGGCCAAAAAAAAAGAGGAAACGAAAAATATACAAAAAGATTTCCAATCTTCTCACTCTCACTTCTAGAAAAAAGATGCAGCCGAGGCACGGAGTGGGAGGGGCTCCCGAAGCACCTGAATCGTGTTTAACCCAACCTCCCTGCTGTTTTCCTGCCTGCCTCTGATTTATTTGGTTGGTTTGGGTTTTTATATTTTTCCTTTTTTTTTTTTACATGTAGTTTTCTATATAACATCTTTAATTAGTGACTTCCTGTGCTAAGAATGGTCCAGATGTGAATTGCTGCTCCCTCTCACCCTCCCTCCCTCCCTCCCTCCCTCCCTTCCTCACACACCTGGTTTCCGATTGGTGTGTCCAAGCTCACAGGGAAGGAAGAGCTGCAGCTGGGGCCTGGCTCTCCTCGGAACAGAGAGGCTGACCCATGCCACTGCATCAGTCACCCAGCTGTCCTCTCGCCCAAAGCCATCCAACCTCAGCAGGCCTTCTTGTGTCCTGCCACCCAAATAGGGCTGACACTGGCCCCCACCCCCTCTCAGGCATGGGTCACAGGGAGGTTAGCACTCTGTCTATTGGAATTCCTTTCATCTCTGTCCTGTGGCCTCTGTGCCACCATCCCCACCTGGTATACCAGACTGTCACCGTGGCCCTGGAGACCCAGCCACTGACGTGTGTGGCCTCTCATGCAGCCCCTCTTCCCTGGGCCTGAGGTGATGGGTAGGGAGGTGGGGCCAATGGGGGTCTGTGTGTGCGCACGCGTACACATGCACGTGTGCGGTTTGCTGTCTGATTTTAAAGGATTCCAAGCCATGTGAAACTTCCCCTCTGGATGTGACTCTGGGTTGTAGCAAGTGCTTATTTATGTTGGAGGTTGGGGAATGGGCTGGGGCAGGTTGCCAAGCCCTTTGTAGGGTGGCTCGCATGGTGGGGTGAGACTGGCTGAACCTGAGACACTCCCGGGGAAAGCACTGCAGAAGGAACTGGTTTCCAGACTTTGGAGGGATCTGCACTTTTGTTTTTGACCAAAAAAAAAAAAAAATTGTGAAGGGTTCGCTATGAGGGGCTGAGGGAACACCCAGCCTCTGATGCCTAAGAGAAGCCCCTGGACTCGGACCCTCCTATCATGTGACCTTCGCCCAGTGTGCGAGCCTCCCACCTGAGTGCCCTGGGGGTGAGAGTGTTTGGTTAGTGCCTATGATGGGCAGTCCTGAGCCTCACATTGAGAGTTTTGGGTTCTTCGTTGTAGATGTTTTAGTGCATTTCTGCCCCTGCCTGCTTGAGAGCCCTTTGGTACCTCTTGCCGTCCCCTCCCACTGCCCGACGCAACCCCACTGGGCCTTGATGCCATGAGGAGTGGTCTGGGCAGGCCAGGCTTAGCCACCACAGCAGGGTGTTTGGATTGTAGAGGAGCAGACTCTCCGCCTCTGCCAGAAGAGAAGTTGTTTCTCCAACCCAGCCCGAGGGGGCCAGCTTTCATACTGTGAGGCTTTGGCAACGGGGGCACATGGCTTCAGGGCCCCCATCACTGGACAGTACCAAAGCCTTTGGCACCCCATCCCATCCTCCCCAGTGACCCCAGGTGGGCAACTGCTATGGCAGTGGGTCCAGCCCAGACAGACACTGCCAGCCTCTCCCTGCACTGGGCACCAGCTCTACCTCCCCCAGCGGGGCAGTGCCCTGGCTCCTCAATCTAGCACCATCTGTCCCCCTAGACTTCTCAGGGGCCAGCCCAGTCTGGGCCACTCTCTCCCCCAGCCCTTGTCTCCCGCACCAGTGACAGGCTCAGGCAGATTGCTGCTCTCCGGGAAAGGTTGGATGCCGCCTTATGCCCCTCCCAGCTCCCTCCTCCCACACTCACGCACACAGGTACCCCCCTACCGCACCTGGTCAGCTTGTTATCTTACCACATACAGGGAGCAGGGGAGACCTACCCCTTAGTGTCTTGAAATACGAAGAAAAATGTATGTTCAGGAGCATGACTCCAGCTCTGGGCCCTCGGGCCCAGTTCAGTCTGTCTTGTCTCAAATCTAGGCATTTTGCTTCAATTTTATTTTTTTTAAGAAAACAAAAACAAAAATCTGCACTAATTTACCTGGTTTCGTAGGAGAACTTTTTTTTTTTATTTTTTACATTTTTTGGTGTCCGTTTGTATTGAATAATTTGCTACATTTGTAAAATGTAAGAGGTATATATAATATATGTATATTTCTAACGTAAAACGTAATTTTTTTCTTTTCAAGATTTTTTCTTAAAAAGAGAAACAAAGATATTTTTTCAGGAAAAACAAACTTTAAAATAAAAAAGAGTAAAACTTTTCTCCCCTTTCCCCATCCTCTATCTACCCCTCTTTCCAGGAACGAATCAAGAGGTGGATTGTCTTGTAAAGAATGTAAACTTTCAGTCCCGAATGATGTGTTTTTCTCAATGCAGTGAGCTGTAGATTCTCCAGTTGGACCCCCAGGGATGGGAAGGGGGCATTGAGGCGATGTGGAGAGGGGCTTGGGGGAGCAGGGCAATGAACTTGTTTTCTTTAGTGAAGGAGGAATACAATCAAGCGTTTTGTATTCAGAATGTTGTGCAATATTTTGGAATGGGACATTGGTGTGTTTAGAGATTTAGTTTAAAAACAAAACAAAAAGATTGATCAAATCTGTACAGTTTATATTGTTCCAGATTTTTTTAAGTTTGTATTAAAAGCATGATATATAATAGCCTTCTGCTTACTCCTGGCTCTTTTTGTTTCTGGGCTCCGATTTGGGATGGAGAGAGGGAGTGACCTGGCCCCTGTTGGTTTCAGGAGAGAATCACTCATCCTCACCTGACCCTTGGAAAAGCACAGGTGTCGCAGGCTCCTTTTTGACCACCTATCCCATCAACACAGGACACCTCAGAGTGCCCACTCCCCGCAGGTCCTCGTCCACGTGGCAGACGGCTTCCGGGAGGTGGTGGAGGCCCCAGCTCCCTCTACTCGCAGGTGGTGGAGCCGGGGCTGGAAACAGGGCCTTGAGAACAAGATGAAGCCTCTGTGGCTCTTCTAGGAATAGCCTGTTGGAGGCGGAGGGATGGATCAGCCTGCAGCAAGCTCTAAATCCAGTATTTGCTGACGCCATCAGACCTTTAGGAGTGGGCAGGGGTGAAGGAGGGCCCCTGAGCCTGGGGCTGGGGCTGGGGAAGAGCCAGCTTCCTACTTGATTTCCCTAGAAGTTCAGCCACCCCCTACTCCCCCAGGCCCATGAGGCTGGGGGGAGGGAGGAGATAGGGACGACCCCCTTAAGTACCTGCCTGGCAGCGATTTGCATCATCCCCAAAAGGCCCCTGGGTTAAAAGAGGCAGCCAGGTGGAGCACCCTGGTGGCACAGGCAAGGCTCCAAGTTAGGTGACCTGCTGAATTCACAAAGCTAGGAAGTGGGGAAGCAGAAATGTGACACTGGAGGCAGGCAGGGAGGGGCTGGCCTCTGGCAAGCAGCTCTTCTGGGCATCAGTGAGATAGGGGTCCCCTCGGGCCCCTCCCCAAACAGGCCAAAACGGACCCTGTCCCTCCCCAGCATGTGACCTAGGCCTAGAACCTCTCAGGTCAAATATGCAACCTCTGCTTAGGATCCTAGGAGCCCTTGATGTCATGCCCCTCCGTGGCCACTTCCTCCCACAGCATCTGTCAAGCAGAGGGAGGCCCTGGTCTAGGGTGCCTGCCAGACATAAGGCCACTTCCAGGGGTTTCCCTGTCCTCTGTCCTGCTGGGGGGAAGCCCAGCCAGTCCCTATATCCCTGGGTCCAGGCTGCTGTCCTGTGGGCCCCAGGGCCCTTGCACTCATTCCTATTTATGTTAATAGAGTTCCCAGCATAGATGCTTTACTGCCCTGGAAGCACAGGTGGGACAGCAGTTACAGGCCAGGTGTGCACAGGTGGCCTGAGAGCCCAGATCAGGAAGCGAAGAAAGAGGAGGAGTTAGCCAGGAAGGAGAAAAGCAAGGCCACGGCCCCCGCAGGGATCCTGTCAGGGAAGATTCTGGACTCTGCTCCCTTAGAAGACTCAGGTTCCAGTCCCAGCCCTGCCACTTCCTAGCTGGGTGACCTCAAGCCAGCCACTTCAGCTACTCTCTCACCTCATTTCTTTCATCTCTAAAACGTACGTACCTATGAAATTAAATGGAGTAATGAGTGGGAAATGCTCAGCACAGTGGCTGGCCCAGAATAAATGACAAATATCATCTCCATCATCAGGGCCATCATTGTCCATCCTCAAATGCCACGGGGCCAGCCCAGGCCGGGATGTGTTCTCGCATCAGCGCACAGGCCAGAAACCAGCTCCACCAGCAGCAAGACCAGGAAAAGGGAGCTCCCGTCCCCGAGCCGCAGAGCCTAGGCTGCCCCCCACTCTGCCCTGCGCCGAAGGTGCGAATCCTCTCGTCCCCCAGCAAGACAGCTCCTGTAAAGTATCCTGTAAAGCTCCTGCAGGCCGCCACCCCTCCTCGCCAGGGGCCCAGCCTTAGGCCTCGGAATGGGATAGGCCCTCTGTGTTTGTCTGGAAACCTCCTGGGAGTCTCCACCAGAAGAGGCAGGTGGGCAGGTGGGGGTGAGCCTCGGGGGCATGAGGACCTTGCTCTGTTCCTCACTGTCTGCCTGGGTCAGTGCCTACCCTTAAGCCAAGTGGATGCCTCTGTCTGGTCCCCCCACTGCCACGCCTGCCCCGTGGGATACAGGGAGAGGAGGGGTACAGTCTCACCCTCCCTCCTCCTTTCCACGGGCCTGGCCAGTTCTGCCGAGTCTTGCCTGGGCAGGGCCTAAGGACAGGCTGGGACCAGCCAGGAAGTCTCCAAGCCCCTGAGCAATAGGAACCTGCTGATCTGCTGCTGTTTGAGGTTACACAGAGAGTACTCGCAGCTCTGAGGACTGAGGACACTTTCATTGCCAGCAAGAGAAGTGTGTTCTCAGTCCTCGCACTGTGGACTCTCTGTGTAACCTCAAACACCTCTCTCACCTCTTGACATCTGTGCCATTTGTATGAGGGAAAGTAGGGCTAGGTCCTTGCCTGACTAGGCCCCT